CCCTGCAGGGCTCTCACAAATGTGGCCCTTGATAATTTTTTCAAAGACCTTCCCCAGGATAGAAGTGAGGCTGACTGGCCTGTAGTTGCCAGGCTCTTCCTTCCTCCCCTTCTTGAAAATAGGGACCACATTGGCCCTTTTCCAGTCCTCAGGGACTTGGCCCAAGCACCAGGAGTCCTCGAACAGGCGCGCCAATGGCTCCGCAATGACACCAGCCAGTTCCCTCAGCACCCACGGATGAAGGTCATCCAGGCCCGCTGACCTGGACACGTCTAAGCCCTCCAGGTAGTCCTTAACTAGGTCTGAACTAACAGTTGGGGGACTCTCATCCTTCCCGGGCCTCTCTATGCTGTCACCCAAGAGCACCCCATTGTCAGCAGACAGGAACACGGAGGCAAAGAACTTGTTGAAGAGTTCTGCCTTCTCTCTTGCGTCTGTCACCAACTGCCCTGTCCTGTCTCATAGGGGTCCAATGTTACCCTGAGACTTCTTGCTACCTATATAGCAAGTCCTTGAAAAAGGACTTTTTGTTATCCTTAATCCCAGAAGCTAATCTAAGCTCCAGTGCTGCTTTAGCCTTCCTCACCAAATCCATACAAGCTCGGGTCAGGAAGGTGTACTCCTCCTTTGGCCCTACCCCCTGCTTCCACCGCCAGTACGCTTCTTTTTCTTGCCTTCAGGCCAGCCTGGATATCCACGCTCAGCCATGAAGTTTTCATGGACCCTTTTCCTGCCTTCCTGCGCAGAGGAATTGCATCCTGCTGTACCCCAAGGATAGCCTCCTTGAGGAAGGACCACCTTTCCTGGACCCCCATACTAGCTACCCCCTGGGCTCTGAGTGCCTCCCTGACTACTGCCCTGAGCACATCAGTCAGCTTTCCTAAAAAGTCAGTCAGTGAGATTTTTTTGAGTTAAAGTAGGTTTGCATGTTACCTGAATGTACAGCACTAATGAAAAGTTGTCTTTTGCCTGTCTGCTGAGGTCAACACCCTGCTTGGGGAAACTGATTTGCTGAGATGTTAAGCCTGAAAGAACCTGCTGGCTGCCATTATGTTTAAACTATCCACTAAGTATCCACACATCAAAATGTCTAGAAGCGTTCAACAAAAAATAGGGTTCCTCTAGTGTTGTTCATGCAAACTAAGGATTTGTCAGATGAAACGGCTGTGCATGCATGTAGAACTGTTGCACATAATGAAATGTGTGGAAGAGAAGGAAGGAGCTTTCATTTCAGGCATGTGACAGAACTCCATCGTTTGGGTGACAGTATGGGACTATTGATAGTATGACACTGATGAACTTAACTGACATAGATGAGTGGGGTGGTCCCTACAGCTAAGAAACCTGGTTTTAGGTTTTGTGACTGTAACGATATTTAATTTATATTTAGCCAGCCGTTCAACTTTTTAAACTTGATCATCAGCTGTTTCATAATGTAACATTGAAATATTGATGACTTGAATTGCCTTTAAATATAGCAGCTCCCCTGAGTTGAGCTGGGGGATAGACTTGATGTACTAGAGGCCCTTAACAGATCTTTGTTCTTGCAAAAAGCAGGAGAAAATGCCACTAACTAACAGTTTTATATAAAAAAGCTTGAAATACTCCATCTAGTTTTAAGGCTGTGCTATTTTTTCTCTTTACTAGAGATTTAACTTAAGGTTATTTGACCTGAATACGTGACTATTAGCCTTTTCCTCTGACATTTTCTTTCTCTCTTTGTTTTTAGACTATGTTCAGATATTGATGTGTTGTCAGCTAATCATAGTTGCAATCTGTAAACTCCACAAAATATAGCAACCTAGCTGTGAAGTACCCAGTTTTGAGATATAGAACCTTGCACAGCAATTAATAGTTGTGGCTGCTTAATTGAAAGCTATTGTTGTTTGTTTGTTTGTTTGTTTGTTTGTTTGTTAAGCATTTTACCAAAACGTGGCTGTTGATGCTTCATGAAAGCTAACTTTTTTTATTTCTAAAGGAAGAGAACTTTTAGATGATCTTGGCTGTAAGTAATAGTCGGACGAACTATTATCAAAACTAAACTAGTAAGATACTAACTGCCTTTAAACACTTTCTAATCTAGGCTGGATGGGCAATGGCCTGAAGGCTTACTGTCTATAAACAATACTCTGCATTTCAACAGCCCACTAACTTACAATTATACTGGAACTTACATCTGTAGGGTGACAAATTCCCTTGGTCAAAGAAGCGATCAAAAGACTATCTACATATTAGGTGAGTGGTTTCTTTTTGTTTTTATTAATTTCTTCAGTCTCCATTCCATCTCCTGTTTCTCCCCCCTTTCCACCTCCCCCCCCCCCCCCCAAAAAACCAACCCCAAAACCCCCAACCTTTTAAATACTTTTGTTAAAATGATTATAAAAAAAAAAAAA